GATGTTTGGGTGGTTGTCATCCTTTACAAGGATGGGTATGATTTGATTTTGGAATTTCTTTGATTCTATAATCTATAGTTTTTTAGGGTCATGTTTCTTATGGTGACGCAAGAAAATATCCTGCAACAAAATTTGTTAAGATAATATCTACAGATTGTATCCTAAACTATCCAGATCGAAATGTTCCAACTTTATTGGTTTATAACAATGGGGGTTAAAGGAAATTACGTGGGTCTGCATAGTTTCGGGTAAAGATGTACTCCTGAAGGTATTTATGTCTAAAACTGCCAGCCTCGTAGTTTTATGTTCTTTTATTTTGATGGAATTAAAGGCCAAGCTTTCCGTTCTTCTATTTTGATGGAATTAAAGGCCAAGCTTTCAGAGGAGTTTCTAACAATAAGTGATGCAATTTTTATGACATACTAGAATTAGTTTAAAGGTTTTTGCTTCCAGTGTGAATGTAATCCTCATCAATTTTGTTAAATAATTGTTATAGTGCTGCCATAAGACTATAAGGAGGTGTTCTTCAACCCCTCTGCCACAGGAAATTTGTGAAGGGAGGCCAAATATCAGCACCATGGACCACAATGGTCTTTTTTTATGGTGAAATGTTGGCCTTCATCTACCACTGATGACCGATGACCTTGATCCTGATAACTATCTGCCTAAATAGTCAAATTTTGTTTTGATCTACATCATTTTGATAACATTATTACATTTAGGTAGTGTTTGGTTAGCTGTGGCTTTCCTTCTCCTTATAAGGAGGAGGAGCTGACACTCTTTTCATAAAAGCTCTTCAAAATTGAAGTAGCTTATTGTAATTCTTCAAATAGTTCCTATTCCTAGATCTACCTTCACCCATGGTATTTCTCTTTAATTTTTGAATTGTGACTCTTTTTCTCTCAGTCTCTACCTTTAGTTTTGCTAGTCATGCCAATGTCATTGGCATTCCATTGTCTCACTCCACTCCTCATTCTTTGTAGACATATTTTGTGTCAATCCACTTGATTGACTAAGTAGGTTATTTTTTTCTACTGAATAACTTTTATCTTAAATGAAAATTTTCTTTTGATATCAAACATTTTACAAAAATTAATATTGAAATAATAAAACACTACAGATCTGTTGTCGTTTTTTATTTTTCAATATTAATTTATTAATTTTTGTAAAATATTTGATATCAAAAGAAAAATTTCATTTAAGGTAAAAGTTATTCGGTAGAAAAAAATAACCTACTTAGTCAATCAAGTGGATTGACACAAAATTTGTCTACAAAGAATGAGGAGTGGAGTGAGACAATGAAGTGCCAATGACATTGGCATGACTACCAAAACTAAAGGGTAGAGACCGAGAGAAAAAGAGTCATAATTCAAAAATTAAAGAGAAATACCATTTGGTGAAGGTAGATCTAGGAATAGGAACTATTTGAAGAAATACAATAAGCTACTTCAATTTTGAAGAGCTTTTATGAAAAGAGTGTCAGATCCTCCTCCTTTTAAGGAGAAGGAAAGCCACAGAGCAGCTAACCAAACACTATTTAGGCAGATAGTTATCAAGATCAAGGTCATCGGTCATTGGTCATCGGTCATCAGTGACAGATGAAGGCCAACATTTCACCATAAAAAAAGACCATTTTGGTCCATGGTGCTGATAGTTGGCCTCCCTTCACAAATTTCCTGTGGCAGAGGGGTTGAAGAACACCTCCTTATAGTCTTATGGCAGCACTATAACAATTATTTAACAAAATTGATGAGGATTACATTCACACTAGAAGCAAAAACCTTTAAACTAGTTCTAGTATGTCATAAAAATTGCATCACTTATTGTTAGAAACTCCTCTGAAAGCTTGGCCTTTAATTCCATCAAAATAAAAGAACATAAAACTACGAGGCTGGCAGTTTTAGACATAAATACCTTCAGGAGTACATCTTCGCCCGAAACTATGCAGACCCACGTAATTTCCTTTAACTGCCCCATTGTTATAAACCAATAAAGTCGGAACATTTCGATCTGGATAGTTTGGGATACAATCTGTAGATATTATCTTAACAAATTTTGTTGCAGGATATTTTCTTGCCAATTCTTCAATGCTTTGCATCAACAAGCCACATTCAGGAATCC